TCAGTTTATGCAAAAGGGCAAGAGGAAGGTCCCTGCATTTTAATCTGGATAAATGTGTTGACCAGGCACTACATCAATGGAATAAATACGGCACGGGTTATTACTGCCGGGGGCTGGATGGAGTTGCCGAAGAGCCTCTGTCATCATCGCTGGAATAGTGCCACATCAACAGTATCAGAAGTACTCCGGTCAATTGTTGTGATCCATCCAGAGGGTAATGTGCGCTGCAGTCGGATCAGATCCTCTAAAGCGTGCCCGTCTTTCACTCGGCTGTGGTACAAAGAAGAAAAAAAAGGCGCCTCAGTATCAGTTGCAGCAGGGAAATTGATCAAACCAATTATGCAAAGCGGGGTAAGAGCTATGACATGCGTTACAATTCACAACGTTCGTTATGATTTTTGATTCGGATTTGAATTTATGTCCCAACAAAAACAACAACACACCTACAATTGGCACTAAATTCCCCCTGCTTCAACCAGCCGAGGTTAAAAAACACAAACCTTGTCGGTCAAAGACATATGACTGCTGGTATGACTAAAAAGGTGAACAATGCATGTGTGAAAAACGAGTATGTGATGTCAAACTGTGAAGAGAAGTAAGTTAGCAAAAAAAAATAAATAAATGAATAAGTAAATAAATCCTGGATGTTTCCCTGCATGTACTTGAATCAATCTCCTGTTTCTTGAGAGGCAGTGAGGAGCCTTGCTTGTTAGTTTCGGCGCTGTGAGTTTGATAGCTGATGCCAGGGAGAGAATGGCCGACTCGCAACCCCCTCCCCCCCTCACTTGCACTATTCACTGACAGCTCGCCACCCATCCAGAAACAGAACAGCACTTTCTGCAGCTGCATGTAAACTCCTGTTATTGTTCATGGCCAAGAACTCCTAAAAAAAAAAAATCTATTCCATCAATTTTCACGCTCACACTCTGTGGAGAGCTGTCAGTGTGCGCATTTTATTTTATTTTATTTGCGCTGTTTGGTTTTAACCCCATTTGAAACTCCTTATAAGGATTTTAACTCTCCCGCGGTCTTGGCGCAAAGCTCGGTGAAGAGCGCGGCAGGTGTCATGGTCGAACATCGCTTCCTCCATTTCTGTAAAACACTATTAGTATTTTAGTTCCTGAAGCCACAAAATATAAAGAAAAAAAGTGCACGTTGGGTCAGTGCAACCAATCCTGGACCTGCACATGTGGCAAGAAGCTCACGCCACCCCTTCTATGGACAGCGCGCCTGTACACTGAAGTTCTATCACTGAGTTAAGCCGTGAATTTATTACTAAAGGCACTAAAACCTTCATAATACACACCAGTTCTGCTCTTTTGAGTATTTTTATAGTTTTCTTAAACTTTTCCCTTTTGGTTTTCCAGCAGCAGAACCCCATAGAAGTAAATGGAAAAATAGCTGAAATTCATGCTAAGGGAAAATTTGTAGCTTGAAATAAACGCTGGATGTGCCTTCCTGTGCTCTCTGCTGTGAAAACATTTTAATGTGGAGTTATGGGTTTCTTTGTGATCAAACGCTCCGTTTCTTTGTGGACAGCCTGATAAATCTAGGTTAAACTCTGAGTCTGTGTCAAAGATCTTGTTACTGTAATGGCGTTTGAGTCAGATTGATTTGTTATAACGGTACACTCAGTGGTTCCTGTTTACAGACGCAGCATTTAGTCTCTGCCCTCCCTCGTAGCTGGGAGTGTGTTCAGAAAAGACGAGGCTATTCGAATGCACCAACCCGCTCTGGTCTAGAGCAAGGTAAGCATAAGCAGTGGATGTTATGGTCCAGGACATAAAGTTTATTTGAGGGCTTTTCTTGTTGCCTTTAATTTTAGATGAGCCATGAAAAGAGAAGCAAAAATTTAATTGGGCACTTTTCTGTCCTTGTAATGTTTCTCCGCCTTTTAAAGAAATCACTATTCTAAGCAGGAATGTTGTTTTTTCTTTTTAAAAAATATATTTTTTGTGTATTTTGTCATCCGAACAGTTTAACAAATTTCGAAAATATTTTAGGTTAAAAAAAAAAAGGAACTCGCAAGTGAAATATTACATCTTGGACGTTCCAAGGTTTCCCCCAGAAAACTTGCTAAGCCTGGTGGTCGGGTGACAGGCCGGTTATTCATCCAGCGGCCCGCGTTGTTTTTGAATTAAAAGTTGACTGGAAATTTTTAATATCACTTGATAATTATGTGTTATTGAAAGATTGGAAGATTAACACCTGAACACCAACTATAGTAATAAAAAAATGCAAACATTCTTAAAAGACTTAAATAAATAAGCAATGCTTAGCCTGGTGGGGTTACATGTAAAGCCTGGTGGCCCTCCAGGCTTATGCACTGAGGGAAACCCTGCATTCCCTACGTTTGTTATTTAAAATTTTTGTAATCATTTCATCTGGCAGCAAAACAGTAAAAAACAGCTTAAATCTAAGGATCATAGTGTTTACATATTGTAACCTTAATGAGTGAACAGTGTTTTGTTTTGTTTTTTACTTGTCCAAAGTTGAGATCTGAAAAAAAAAAGACAAACAAAGCGAATCTCAAGGGCGACCCTGGACTCTTAACCCATAACTCAGTGGCCATCTAAGAAAATACTGGTGGACAACTTTCCAACTCCAGACTGAGACCCATAAGATGATAATAAATCTCATTAATTATGTTTTTAATGCTGTCTGAGAGGCAGTAGCTTGGAGACCCAACAATCAGGCTCAGTGCCTACAGTTTTAAGTCCAGTGTGCCTGGACTGATGGCTTGTTGTAAAAAAATTTAATTCAAAGTACTGAAATTCTGCCAACCTTCAAGTAAATATAATATCTCCTCTTAATTTTTCTTTTTATTCCAAAAATTCTGTTGCCAGCATAATTTATATGAGGTGACGGTTGTTTAAAACATAGCAGTGAATTGAAGAATCTGCACTTTTCTGCACATAATTAATCTAATAAGAGTATAAATGTAAATAACATCTGTCTATATTTAGTTTACTTGTGTTGTTTAGGTCGAATACTAACTATGGAGGATGAGACAATAAAACTACCCACTCATTCATTTGGCTCAGACACAGAGAAAAGAGATTCGCCCTGAAAGCTAATTATCACAGATAAAGTTTACCTCAAAGGCTTTTATTTTAGCGTTGTGGTCAAGTGTTTTATACTAATGAAGGGTGTGTAAAAATAAAATTAAATAAAAATTTACTCATTATTAGTCTTTGGTAACGTAATTGTTTATCAAGAAATTGTGCTTTCTCCTTTTAAATCATTTTGACTACAGAAACTATCCAAGTGACTGATGAAAAGTTTATATAACCTCTGAAGTTTGACCTGAAAACACAAAAGCTGACATAACTAAGTTTAAATGGCCTCTATAGGTAATCAGCCTCAACTGGGAGCCAATGTTTGCTTGTAATTTTTGTGTTTGTATAAAAGGTCATTGAGTTATCGAGTCAGACGTTTACTACGGTGCTGCACTGATGCTGCTGCATTCAGAGTCATAGGATCTGCAGGGAAAGGCAGTTGAACCGTATGAAGCAGGAAAAGGACATTAAAAGTATCCAAGAAAGCCAATGAGCAGTGATTAAACTCTAATTAAAAAGTAGAAAACAAGGGATTGTGTTGAAACCAGGCCACGGTCAAGGAGAGCAACACATTTTGGCCACAACTTCCAGGGAAATTTGGAAGGCAAACAAAAAAAAAACACAAATATCTCCAGCCGACATAAAGGACTGTCCAAAAAAAAAGAAGAAGAAAAAAAAATACTGCTGTGGCAGTTTTAAGATGCACAATAAGGCCATTTTTTTCTTTAGGCGTAAAGAAAAAAATGGGCTGCATGGGGCGAGGCGCCAGAAGAGACCATTACTACGTCGGGACAAAAATGCTGCCAACTTTTCAATAAGCCAAGAAAAAAACCCGTAAAGAGACGAGTGAAGAAATTTCTAAAATACAGGGGGAAAAGTCTGTAGTTGGCTCAGAATCTCACAAAAAGCATGAGTGAAAGAAAAGTTTTAGTTTTTTTAATATAAATTGTACGTACTGCTTATAAAACCAACACTAAACTTCTGTTTGTGACACCAAAGAAAGCGGTTATAGTTTTATATGAAGTGATTGCTAGAGAACATATCAATAACGTGTTTATTCAATCTAATATCTTGAAACTATAAGGGATTTGAAAAAACACTATTAGTCATGTTTAAACCTGGAAAGACATTATTTCCAGTTAATTTATAAAAGTTTTTTGTCTTAAGTTCAAGTGGTAGAAATAACAGGAAGGAAACAATTTCAAAAGGAAAACTGTGCATGTTACTTTAAAACAAAGGAGGGTTTTTATGCCTGGAGTGAAACTGCAGCAATTTGGATAAAAGTGCTCCACTATACATCAAGTCACAACACTTGATAAAAATAAAGTCCTAATATTTTGAGAATAGTCGCACTAGTAGCAAAATAAAGTCATAGTATTACAAGAATAAAGCTATGATATGAGAATTAGAAAAATAAAGTCGTAACATTCTGACTTTATTCTCGAAATCATACTGATATTATTCTGTTCAGGTCACCTGTCTGACCTGCAAATGTTTTCTTCTTCTGTTTGTTTTGTTTTTAAGTAAACACTTCTAAAATATGCTGCTGCTAGCGAATTATTTGCTAATCAAGCCAGACACTTACTGAATGATTACTGCATCCCTGCTCCATGCTACACTCTTAAGTTGTGAGAGTGTGTGTGTGTGTGTGTGTGTGTGTGTTGGTGTTCATCTGTGTGTGTGCGGGGGTGAGGGTCTAACGTTCGCCACCATCACGTGCGGCGTCGCGGTGATGTCGGTAACGCCGCGGTACGCAGCTCCTCTCTCTCTGTAGTTGGTGGTTTGTGCTGTTTCTAATCCCTCATCTCTGCTCTCTTTTGTCTCCCCTCCCAATCCCTTCTTTCTTCCTCTTTTTGTCCCCCCCCCTCCTCTTCTCTCCGTGTCTCTTACCCCCCTCCCATCCCACTCTCCTCCCTCTGTGTCCTGTTTTCGCTCCATCAGGTGTCCCAATGACTATACGGGGGACCGCTGTCAAAACTCCGTCTTGACCAGTTTCTACAGTACGTCCATTTGCTCTTGTCTGTCGTCCTCCTCACTGAGATGCTGCATGCCACATCGGAGGGGTTGGATAGTGTGTGTGCGTGTGCGTGGGTGTGTGTTCGTGTGTACTAAACTGCTTCTCTGTTTCCTGTACGTGTGTGAGGGTGTGTTTGCATGAGGTTGTCTCCCCCACCTCCCCCCCACCCTGTTTTTCTCCCTATCCTCAGGTGATCTGCAAAAACACAACATCTTACCAAGTATTTTTTCCCCCCGTCTAGTTTCTGGTGAAAATATCTTAGTACAGTGTTTCTCAACCTTTTTTGGGCCAGCGCCCCCCTAGACCTCACCGCCCCCCACCAAAATATTTGTAGGCTACTTTACACTGACCATTATTTTATCATTAATGTTACTATCACTATTGTAGATGTTTTGA